TTCCACTCAACGGATACTCTTATTTCTTGAAGCCTACTCTTCTTCGGTACCTCTCTCATGCTTTCATCCTTCGTACGCTCTCTTTTTGTTGCGACACTTTTGACAAGGAAAGATAGCAACAATAATATATGTGTGATGAATGGTTTGAAAAACCGACAAGTTGAAGATTGAGACACTTATGCAGCATATGGGAATCTTTATTCGGGAAACGTTTCGCCACACAGTGGCGAATAGTTCTACTGTCTTCCTATTATGTCCTAGAATCTGTATTGATAAAGCCACTGGATGGCGAAACGTCTACAATAAAGATATCCAGATGTTGCACATGTGTCTTAACTTTCATATTGTCGGTATTTTATAACTTTCTTGCACAACTTGTCAGACACTGCAACATTATGGAATCTTGGTTCAGAGGACATCTACAAGACCTTCTTCACGGCTACTGCAACTAACCCATCTCTTTGGGAAGGACCTACTTCCACTGGGGAATCCCGCCTACCAGTGACTGCCCTCGTCTGCTGCCCGTCCCTTCCACTGACGCCTATAAAAACGCCAGTCTTCTTGCCTTTGCTCCAGACTCTCCTCCACCACGATGCTGTGAACACTAACTCCAAGGCCGAGGGACTGATTACCTCATCTTTTGTATATAGTTCTACTGTCTTCCTATTATGTCCTAGAATCTGTATTGATAAAGCCACTGGATGGCGAAACGTCTACAATAAAGATATCCAGATGTTGCACATGTGTCTTAACTTTCACAAAGATTCCCATATGCTGCATAAGTGTCTCAATCTTCAACAATAATATACACACGGGCGGTTCTACTATGAAACTAATCCCGTAGGGGCCCCAGAAGTCACTTTAGTCCACATTGCTTAAAAATCTTGGTTCTACTGTATGAGAAAGGTTTTTTAAATAATGATATTAATTAGATAGCGTAATTCAATACAAAATAATAGTTAAAATAAAAATTTAAAGGCCATTAAAGTATCATATAAGCAAGCTGTTGCTGGGTTGTGAAGGTGACACCTTGACAGTTTAAGCTTCAGTCACAAAAATGTAGGTCCGCCACTTATAGTCACGACCCATCTTACATTTCCACAATCATGTTCTTTAGATGATTGATTTGAGGCATTTTCGTCTGTGGAAATTGGGTTTCTTAATCACAAGGCGGACATTGTTAAATCTCATCAAATGATTGGTAAAATTCCGGTGTTGTACACATGTGTTGTTCAAGTTATCGCTTTTGTATGTATTGATGTGTTAGGTAAAAGGACACGTGTATAACTAATGCGACATTTTATTGGTAAATTAGACACATGTGCAACACTTGGGTATCTTTAATGAGGAAACGTTTCGCCACACAGTGGCTTCATCAGTCCATAGAAAGGAGAATGGTGAGGAACAGGAGGAGTTTGAGGTAATCAGTCCCTCAGCCTTGAGTCGATGTAATCACTCCATCAATCTTGAAAAGAATACAGCATTTTATTGTGGCGTTTCGCTCTCCAGGAGCGAAAACGAAACCTTACCACAATAAAATATCGCATTAGTTGCACTTGTGTCCTTTTATTTAACATATTGTCGGTAATTCTGCCAACATTGTTATGGTATATTAATGTGTTCATTGAGTCGTGTTTCCAGTCCTGGAGCTGATGTGATGGACTATGACAGTAAAACCTTTCTGTGTGACAGAGTGGCTTCCCTGACCGACTCCATCATACAGAGTGGCTTCCCTGACCGACTCCATCATACAGAGTGGCTTTCCTGACCGACTCCATCATACAGAGTGGCTTCCCTGACCGACTCCATCATACAGAGTGGCTTTCCTGACCGACTCCATCATGCAGAGTGGCTTTCCTGACCGACTCCATCATACAGAGTGGCTTTCCTGACCGACTCCATCATACAGTGGGTTTCCTGACCGACTGTATAATCTTGTGTGATTAAGTTTGACAGGAAAACCGTCCACTGTTATGGAATATCACATTAAAACCATCCTTTTTCACGGAAAATGCTATGAAAAGCCATTCTTTTTATGGAGAACGACAGGAAAATCATGTATCATAGAGAATGACAGGAAATAGACCAGTTTGTCATGGAGAAAGATAGAAAAATCTTCCTGTGTGATGGAGTATGAGAGAAAACTGATCTTTTTGTGATTGGTATCTTATGTAAATGTTACTATTACCTCAACAAATGAAATAGAGAACAAGGTAACCACACGTTGTAGTGTATCCAGACTGCCCTCGTCTGCTGCCCGTCCCTTCCACTGACGCCTATAAAAACGCCAGTCTTCTTGCCTTTGCTCCAGACTCTCCTCCACCATGATGCTGTGAACACTAACTCCAAGGCCGAGGGACTGATTACCTCATCTTTTGTATATAGTTCTACTGTCTTCCTATTATGTCCTAGAATCTGTATTGATAAAGCCACTGGATGGCGAAACGTCTACAATAAAGATATCCAGATGTTGCACATGTGTCTTAACTTTCATATTGTCGGTATTTTATACCTTTCTTGCACAACTTGTCAGACACTGCAACAGCATGGAATCTTGGTTCAGAGGACATCTACAAGACCTTCTTCACGGCTACTGCAACTAACCCATCTCTTTGGGAAGGACCTACTTCCACTGGGGAATCCCGCCTACCAGTGACTGCCCTCGTCTGCTGCCCGTCCCTTCCACTGACGCCTATAAAAACGCCAGTCTTCTTGCCTTTGCTCCAGACTCTCTCCTCCACCACGATGCTGTGAACACTAACTCCAAGGCCGAGGGACTGATTACCTCATCTTTTGTATATAGTTCTACTGTCTTCCTATTATGTCCTAGAATCTGTATTGATAAAGCCACTGGATGGCGAAACGTCTACAATAAAGATATCCAGATGTTGCACATGTGTCTTAACTTTCATATTGTCGGTATTTTATACCTTTCTTGCACAACTTGTCAGACACTGCAACAGCATGGAATCTTGGTTCAGAGGACATCTACAAGACCTTCTTCACGGCTACTGCAACTAACCCATCTCTTTGGGAAGGACCTACTTCCACTGGGGAATCCCGCCTACCAGTGACTGCCCTCGTCTGCTGCCCGTCCCTTCCACTGACGCCTATAAAAACGCCAGTCTTCTTGCCTTTGCTCCAGACTCTCCTCCACCACGATGCTGTGAACACTAACTCCAAGGCCGAGGGACTGATTACCTCATCTTTTGTATATAGTTCTACTGTCTTCCTATTATGTCCTAGAATCTGTATTGATAAAGCCACTGGATGGCGAAACGTCTACAATAAAGATATCCAGATGTTGCACATGTGTCTTAACTTTCATATTGTCGGTATTTTATACCTTTCTTGCACAACTTGTCAGACACTGCAACAGCATGGAATCTTGGTTCAGAGGACATCTACAAGACCTTCTTCACGGCTACTGCAACTAACCCATCTCTTTGGGAAGGACCTACTTCCACTGGGGAATCCCGCCTACCAGTGACTGCCCTCGTCTGCTGCCCGTCCCTTCCACTGACGCCTATAAAAACGCCAGTCTTCTTGCCTTTGCTATACCCTCCAACCGGAGGGCCCAAGAGAGAAGATAGAAGAATGAAGAAGACGATCGACACCCCCGCCCCGGGGGCCACCGCCGGGTCACCATCTGGAGAAGACCCGCGCCGGAAGTACCGGCATATCTTTAATGAATGAATGCCTTTGCTCCAGACTCTCCTCCACCACGATGCTGTGAACACTAACTCCAAGGCCGAGGGACTGATTACCTCATCTTTTGTATATAGTTCTACTGTCTTCCTATTATGTCCTAGAATCTGTATTGATAAAGCCACTGGATGGCGAAACGTCTGCAATAAAGATATCCAGATGTTGCACATGTGTCTTAACTTTCAATAAAACATATTAGATTCATCACATTATGTTTTTTTTTTGGCTTAATTGGTAGCGCCTTCGACTCGAACTGGAGGATCCGGGTACGATCCTGGGGAGAATGGAAAGTTTGGCCATATTGCCTTGCACCTGCCTCTGTTCATCTAGCACTAAATAGGTACCTTCAGGTTCTGACCTGTACCCATAATCCAGACCACGACCTGTACTCAAACCTACACCGTTTCTCCAGACCCCCGACCTGTACCTATACCCCAGAACCCGACCAGCACCCATGCACCAGAGCCCGACCTGTACCTATACCCCAGAACCCCGACCAACACCCATGCACCAGAGCCCGACCTGTACCCATACCCCAGGTCACGACCTGTACCCATACACCAGGTCACGACCTCTACCCATACACCAGGTCACGACCTCTACCCATACCCCAGAGCCCGACCTATACCCATATCCCAGGTCACGACCTGTACCCATACCCTAGGTCACGACCTGTACCCATACCCCAGAGCCCGACCTGTACCCATACCCCAGGTCACGACCTGTACCCATACCCCAGAGCCCGACCTGTACCCATACCCCAGGTCACGACCTGTACCCATACCCCAGAGCCCGACTTGTACCCATACCCCAAGTCACGACCTGTACCCATACTCCAGACCACGACCTGTACCTATACCCCATGCCTCAACGCAGGGCATTGACCCACATTACTTAAGTTCTTTAATTCCTATGTTGAATACTTATAATTAAACAATTATTGTAAGATAAACCTTTTAAAAACAATGATTTAAAGATTAAATCACGGTTGTTTAAGTTTAAATTTTAAACTAAAGCATAAATAATTGAATAAATAAATTAAAATTATATGTATTGATTGATATTGTATATAAATACTCGAAATATAAATTATTTATATATTACTTCAACTACATATTTATTTTTCACCAGCTTAAGTGAGTAAATAGTCTAAACTATTTCTTTTATTAAATCAGCAATAATAAACATAAACAATGTGAGTGAGAGATTAATCAGGTATCCCCTGCCTCCCCAGCCTCGACCAATCAACGTTGAGCATCTTGGCCAAGCTGGCCGCTGATTGGTCAACTTGAACCTACATCAACATCACTCGTTGTTAGTTTGAACTGCGGCTGCTGAGGTCTCTGCTCTTACTTGCTTATTATTTTCACTTTTACTGGTGGTACTGGGAGCTTTTTAACATGGCGACGAGTCCATCAACGTCCCGGAAGAATGGCCGGAAGATAGGGAGTAGCCAGAACATCAAGGTGTTCGTCAGGTGCAGGTAAATGGCGGATATATTGATGGCTTACTGCTGCTTCGGGAGTTCTGGTTCGGTTTTATAGCTTTACCTTGTTAAGATTTCTTATTTTGTTTGTTGTTTCATGATTCACCCACATTCATAGTCTCTTAGAGGAAGATTCCTTGTTGCTGGTGAGAGGCTCTTGATCCAAGAAATCAGATATGGCTCCCCTTAATTAAATCGAACCTGATTGCTTGTTCATTCCTCCAGATCCTACGGGTTTAGCGCTTCCCCTTGATTATAATAATAATGCATGACCCTTACGGGTTTAGCTGTTATTAAATATAACAGTAGTAATTTTCCCATCAAGGGGATGGTGCCATTGTTTGTGAGGGGTTCTTGATCCAAGGATTTTTTTTAGCTACCCTTCCATTCCTTGGATTGGACCCTTTTCTTTTCTTACCTTCATTTCTATATGAATATAGATTCTTTGAGGCTTTACTTTGATACTGGTGAAGGGTTCTTCGTCCAAGGAATTAGGCCTGTTCTCCCTTTCTTTGGATCAAACCCGAATGCCTCCTATTCCCCAAGGTGATGTATGACCTCCTATGGATTTATCACGTTCCTATGAATCCAACAAAAGTTACACCAGTATGCTTGTAGTTGGAACTATAGAAATGCTCGAACTGTGATTGTCCGGGTGTATCAAGTGACTGTGTTGTAATTGGTGAGGTGTATCTTGTAGCATCATATTAAAAGTTGATTGGCCCATCTGAGATGCATTTTAGGATGCTGGAAATTCAAGAACCCCAATGGAAATAAGTCACTTTGACCTTGTTTGGGTTATCCTAGGTAATTTGCACATAGGTTTCTATGTGTGATAATTGTACTAATGTGGACCTATACCTAAATAAATGCACTAATTGGGCCTGTGCTTAATGTCTACCAAAATAATTTACACGAGCAATAACTATTTTTTGCTGGGAGTGGCTAACTTGATTGTACAATATTTAATAAAATAAAAAATGGTTGAGTATATATTGTCCAGATTTAATGTGGGGTATACCTGGAGAGGGTTTCAGGGGTCACCACCCCTGCTGCTTGATCTGAGACCAGACCTTGTGATGGATCAGGGTCGGATCTCAACCAGGCTGTTACTGCTGGCTGCATGTAAACTGACGTACGAACCACAGCCCGACTGGTCAGGTACTGACTTTAGGTGCCTGTCCAGTGCCTTCTTGAAGACAGCCAGGGATCTATTGGTAATCCCGCTTATGTATGATGGGAGCCCACTAAAGTTCTATCTTTTTATTTAGAATAGATTTTATTTTTTTTAAACAGTAATGACACTGAATCAGTATAGTTTTATTCTCAAATTCCATAAGGGACAATAAAAACTATTTACAAATTTATCCTGGTAGGTAGGTGTGTATGTGTAACATTGCCCACAAGGAGTAGATTAAATTTAATTTGGTCAGTACCAGTATATTCTTTAGCTGCCTTGATTTTTATTATATAAACTCTCTAGTGTTAAGTGGGTTGTGCAGTGAGGGCAGTTATATTTTTTCCAAATGGGGTAAAAAAAAAAATCATACCAGACATAGCTCAGTTACATTTGTCTCCATGTTGTCAGTTATAATACTGCATTCTTGCGATAATTTACTAGCAACTATAAGCATCACTGAATGAGTGCAGCCCTTATTATTAGCCTTGCACCCCTCAAGGAAGGTTCCTTAATGCTGGTGAGGGGCTCTTGATCTAGGGAATTGGATCAGTGCTTCAGTTCCCTGAATTGAGTCTGGATACCTTCCATCCCTCTCCCCACAGGTGCAGTATAATCCTATGGGTTTAGCACTCCCCCTTGATTATAATAATAGCAATTAGCCTTGTAGATAAGGTGTTTATACTATTAAATAAATGTCAACAGCTTCATCTATTTCAGAGGCACTTGTTAAAAGTGTACTTTTAGTTTATTTAGTGTAAGGGATCTTCCTGGTCTTCCTTAAACCACTGCATAGCTTACCACTGGCTGTTGAGGCAAAGCTTTTAACAGACATTATACATGATGCAGGAAATATTTTAACTGGTTTTATTGACAGGAACACTGCATGACCTCAAGCTAAACATTTCGTAAATACTGTATTACAACTTTACTATCTATTGTAAACACTATTTTAAGAGAAATTGTGCATTTTCTTCACTTGTAGCCCCTTAATATACTAAGAAAATTATCCTATAATTCATAGTTTAAGATTTTGGATAAACCTCCATGTTTCTGATATTCTGCTGTACACCCTTCCTCTGGAAGTTTTATTTCTTACCTTTCAAATTCATCACGTGTTCAGTTTCTTTTGTTTCCATCTCTTTGTCCACTTTAATTTTCCTGAGTCACTTGTGCATGGCTATCATGTTATTTCCAGTAATGTAGAAGATGCCAGTATTTCTTTTACTTTTTTAAAGGGATTATCCTGGTGAAAGGATAAATTAGCTTGAATGTAGAAGGGTGTGTACAGAATTCTTTAATAAATGTTTCAGTGGCTTTGTAAATAAAATTTAGGTGAAGGACTAAACCTGTGTGGGTCAATTAGTGCAGGGAGTGGCAGAATGAGGCTTGCTAATCATGGATGAATGAACATCATTTTCTCAGCCAGCTTGGCTAAGGAAAGGATGCAGTAGGTTTATGAGGATAATGGTAAATGGCTAATGGAGTAAGCATATGAGTGCTTGAGAGTTTGAATGTTGAAGTGCCTTTTTATAAGGTACATACTGTATATTTCTATCCTATTCAAATCTTAACTTTTGTTTTATTTGCAGACCTATGAATTCTTCAGAAAAGAGTAGTAAATCGTTTAGTATTGTAGAATGCCAGAACCACAAAGAAATAACTATTCGAGAAAGGCCAATGGACAAATTTGCAAAAACCTTTACATTTGACAGAGTCTTTGGCCCAGAATCAAAGCAGGTATAGATTTACAATATTTTTGTGAATACTGTGTATATAGATATATGTATATATGACTTGTTCTTGCAACATTCCTCATAAAGTTAAATAAATTCATCAGTTAAACTTATTATTATAACAAAAATTCCAATTGTTTCAGATTGATGTGTACAAATCAGTTGCAAAAAACTCTGTTGAAGAAGTTCTCAGTGGGTTCAATTGCACAATATTTGCATATGGTCAGACAGGAACAGGAAAAACTTTTACCATGGAGGGAGAACGTACTCCAGACAATACATCGTGGGATGAGGCAAGTGCTTAAATATATTCAGTAATTATGGAATGATAAATTTGTTGCATGTTTTTACACTTTCTTTAGTTCAGTATAGAACTAATGGCTTGCCAGAAGTGTGTTGATATCACAGTTGAAGTGACTCCAGTTGCAACATCCCCACCACTCCTCAACAGCAGCACATCCTTTAAAAACCACTTGTCTCCATTCACTCTGTTTCACATGATTACTTAATGCTTAAGTTCCTAAAGCTTGAAGCCTCTTGTACTCCCACCTTCCTGTCATTCCTGTGAGGTCCCTTACCCCTCCTACCTTCCACCCTAGATTTATACACTTTTTCATTCCATCTCTCCATGCCCTCTACATGTCCAACCACCTTGGCAATCCCTCCTCAGCCCTGAGTTGTACCCTTGGTGACCCCACATCGTCTATTAATCTCTATGCTCTGAATTCGCTGCATGATATTTACCACATAGTTTTCAAGCACGACATTTTTATTTCTGCTACCACCCTCGCTACAGCATTAAGGTAGGATTGAGGGTTCCCGCGCGCGGAGCCAAAAAAAATTCGAAAATATATGAAAACTGAGTTATTGTTACCAAAAAATAGCTGAACTTTCTGGCTACACGCTGGTATAATTATTATCCTTGTACGATGTTTCTAAAAGGAATTACAGCCATTTATAACAGGCATGGTGACAGCGCTGACGCGACATAGTGCGTAAGAAGCGCTGACTCAGCTTTGTTGACGTTTTTGTTACGTTTTTCCCCGTGTTATTTTTATCGTTTTCGTACATCTTTATGTCTAATATAATACAAATTCACCATCTGAGATCATGCCAGAGTGGGTGGAGCTAATGTGATCAAGGAACCAATCGGGAACACCTGGGAATAGTGCACAAAATGGCCGACACCTCCAGCCAACAAAATATTCCATACCCACGCTAATATCAATTATAAGGCTTATTTATCTATCATAATTGATCTATTATGATATAATGCAATATAATAATAGCATATAAACATAAAAAGTACACCTCAAAAAAAAATATATAGCATAATATGACGCCCCAAGGAATAAATTTCTATCGATATTTCCCCTGAAGGTGAAGAGAGGATCCGCCCTCTCTCATCAGTGATGAGAGAAAACGGATTTACAATGATTAACTGTAATAAACACTCGTAGGCCGCGAAAAAAGTGTAAAATAAAGCGAATTTTTCGGGGAAAAAATTTGTTCCCGGGCAGCGGGGGTGCCGCGCGCTTCGGCCTATATCTTAAAAGTAAGTTATTTATTTATAAGGCAAGTTACAGCTTCATTTATGATTGAATTGACTTGATTTTCACAACAAACATAGGAGAATGATTGTTTTACGGGGAAGCGTTCGTGTTTCCGAACTATCCAAAATATTTTTAGATTTATGTGGACAACAAGGCCGACATCTTCCAATATATCAAAAAAGTTATGAAACTTTATTTTTTTTTAGCAAGAAGATAAGGTTTATTTTAGAATTCTCATCGACAAGTGTTGGAATTAGAGTTGTTCTAGCAGCAGCAAGTGTCAAAACCACTTGTCCAAGTACCACTGACAAACTGTGCCCTGCCAAATGCAATTTTTCGTAAATTTTGCATATTTCATTTCATTTTTGGCCGATATGATTGAAACTTCAGCACAGCATACTCGATATAACCTTCTAATAGTACACCAAAAATGAACGTAATCGGTCCATAAAAAAAAGGTCGTTAAAATTCTGCCAACATCTGACCTTAAAAACCCATGCCTTGCATCCATGTAATGTTTGGTACCACTGTACTCTGGTGAATTTGCTTTTTTGTCTCCATAAATATACTTTCCACAAGTGCCTCGACATGCCACCTATTTTTCTGCCTCCTTTCCTTGTTAATTTATGGTTCACCTCATTTTTCATAGATCCATCTGCTGCCATGCCCACTCAGATATTTAGCTACATCTACTTCCTCCACCAAAATGGAGGCAAGAAAGGTACTGTACCTGCATGTAGTGGTATCAACTTATACATGGGAGTGAGGCATAGGTTTTGAATGCTTCAGTGAGGAGGCTAGAGGCAGTAATGCCATGTTTGAGAGGAATGTATGGTGTGAATGTTAAGCTGAGAATTTGGAGTGTAGATATTAAAAGGTGACATGAGGTTACTTAAGGTATAATGCAGAAGGCAGAGTAGGAGTATGTGGAGGTGGTTTGAGTATGTGGAGAGGATAGAGGGGGGATATGATGACGGTACTTAAATTTGGGGTGGAAGGTACGAGGGATAGGGGGTTATCCCAGGAACTGTTGGAGGGAGGGGGTGAGAGGGCTTGGAGTTTTAGAGGCTTGAACATCCAGCAGGCTTGTGTGAACATGTTAGTCACTAATGGAGATTGGTGGTGGTTTGTAGTGGATGTGCTTTTGGAGTGTAAGCAAGGTAACTTATGAAGGGATGCAGGGAAATCGGTTAGCAGTACTTGAGGTGGAAAGGGCAGTGCCTGTGCCAGTGCCATGAAGGAGGGGTGGAGATGTTGCAGCCAATGTCATCTGAATTGTATGTTAGCACCCTTCTGACAAGATAGTGATTAAGTGAATGGTGAATGGGTTTTCTCTTCTGGGTCATATTGCCTTGGTATGCAGTGGTTGTTAAGATGGAAAAAAAAGTATGTGGTGGTATGCAGAACAGCAAAAGATAAATTTGCTTCATGTGTTGACACTTGCATTCTCTAGTTTGTTTGACAAACTATCAGTGTTGCTCAATATAAAGCAATAGTCAATTACCCGCAAAAAATTACAGTACATTAACTTGTAAACTGAGGCATCATATGACCAGATTGAGAGGCTTATGTTCTTCATCCAATTAATTTTTTATTATTAATTTTTTTGTTTTATGGTTCCAGAAAACCTGAGTGTACTGTGATAAATAAATATTACATTGGTTACCATTAAGTAGCAATACTGCATCAACACTTTGACTTCATCTCCTGCCTTCACTAAAACAGTTTTGTTATTCTTATAAGAGAAGTGAGCATTAATTCAAAATTTCTCACCTAGACATGTATGGGCCATGATAGCCAAACTCCTTGCCCAATGAGGCTTTACAGAATCATTATGATGACTTGCATACTAACCTGCATAGTTTTATATTCTAATCCCATAATTTTTTCATGTTAATATTTGTGTATTTATTATTAATATTGTAAGTTTTACGAATATTGCTGATGTTTATCATTGTATGTATTGGGTAGTACTGTATACTGTACTTGTTGGCATATAATCTATATATGCAGTAATTAGAAAAATCTTCCAGGACCCTTTGGCAGGTGTCATCCCACGCTGCGTCACCCATTTGTTTGATGAATTACGAATGCAGAAGTTGGAGTTTTCAATGCGTGTCTCTTTCCTTGAGCTTTACAATGAGGAATTATTTGACTTGCTGTCTCCTCATGATGATATGTCTAAACTCAGGTAAACTGTTATTATTTTTACAGCATTACAACATTTATCTTTTGCAAGACAATTACTTTTACCATAGCCCAGCTTGGCCCTAGCAGTGGTTATCCTACCTCTGTTAAGCCTGGCCCTAGCAGTATCTGTTATGCCCTCTTGTTTCTGTGCATAGCTCTAGCATGTGTTTTCATGACCTACAAAAGTATTTAAACCCAGGTATACCTAAAATAATTACATATTTTTATTTCAAAATACTTATGAAAAGAAAGTTAAAACATTTCAGTCCTTTCTGGACCATTGTAGCTATAAGAGCAAGGCTGTGCTTGTATCCTGTCTAAATATGTTCATCATTAGAATTTAAAATATATTTAGTATTTGTATCACTTTATTTGTAAATTATTTATGTATTATTAAGTGATTGGGCAGCAGATGTAAGAAGTGTTGCCCATGCATTTAGCTCTGGACTGGCTGTCTTAAAGTTACCAGTAATAAAGATGTGAGCCAGTAGATGTTAAGTTAAAAAAAATAGTTGAAGTGATTTATAGCTTATTTTTGTAGCACCACCTGTAAACAAGTAGGTGTAGTAAGAGGAACCTCATAATGACCTATTTCTCACTTTATGGTACATTTACCAGTAAGTTTTATCAAAGGAAGGAGTGAAAATATAATCACTTGCATGAAAAGCCTTTCACTGGTATTTAGGTAATCGCTTGAAAGAAAATCTACTAGTTATGTGTTGAAAGTATTGTATATTCAGAATGTGCATTAGTCACTAGAAGAATGTTAAATGACTTCTGTCTTTCCTGTCTCATTGTCAGCTCACATACAAATTTTCTCTAACACATTTTGTTTCTTAGTTAATTTTTAGCAAAGAAACTCACCCTATCCTGGTAGGAAATGGCTGCTGTATTTAAAAACTAACTAATTTGCTTTTTGTTAAGGGACATTGCATAATTATAATGCTCTAATCCCTTCATCATCTTTCTATAATCAGGAGAGGTGTGTGGTGTGCATCTGAAACTGTGGGGGTTATTTCTGAATTGTTCCAGTTAGGTATTATGATTATTTGATTATTTTCAGGGTTAGATATTTAGAATTTGCAGTTTACCTTCCATCCTACCCAGTGTAATTAATAGCATAATTAATAGCATAACTAGTTCATTATCACCAAACAGTAGCAAAACTAGCACATCAAAGTAAACAAAAGTAAAAGTTTGTCAGTTTGATCTTAGAGTGAATATCATTAACCTGATTTTATATGTTAAATTTCAGATTGTATGAGGATTCTAGCCGAAAGGGTTCCTGTATTATTCAAGGGTTGGAAGAAGTTCTGGTGCGTTCAAAGTCTGATGTATACAGTGTATTGGAAAAAGGGTCAAATAAACGTCAAACTGCAGCCACCCTCATGAATGCACATTCCAGTCGCTCCCACACAGTTTTTACCGTTACTATACACATAAAGGAAAATACACTAGATGGCGATGAACTTCTTAAGGTGAAGTATTAACCATTGTGTTTTTTCTTAGATTTAGCCATGTGATCAATATAGGTTTAGCACTTAACCCTTTCAGGGTCCGTGCCGTAGATCTACGGCTTTACATTCAGGGTCCAAACTGTAGATCTACTCCATGAGCTCAGCTCACTCTGATAAGCTGTGAGCAGTAAATTTGGGCCTAGATATGAGAAAAAACATCTATGTGGTATGTGTGCACCACAAAAAACAAATCCTGCAGCACACAGTGCATAATGATAGAAAACCGTGACCGTAATTTTAGATTAAAATAGCGACTTTGCAGTGTTTTTTCGTATGTTTTCTATAGTTGTATTTACAATTTCTTGGTCTCATTTGATAGAATGGAAGATATACTACAGAAATAGAGATGATTTTGATTGGTTTAAATACTGGAAATGGCTTGAAACTGAGCTCAAAGTAGCAGAAATGTTAAATTTTTGCTGATGTTCAAAGAGTAAACAAATGCCCTCACAAGTCTAATACATGACAGCTGGTGGGTCTAATATACATTCACAAATGTGGTGATATTATTTATACAATTATTACAGTATTACATAACAATAAATCTATTTTTTGGTTTGAATAAAAATTCATTATGTGAATAAAAAATGAAAATGGAACTCATTTGTAAAGCCTGAAAATGTAACTAATGAACAGAGGAAATGTTAGTTTAGTGCCAGGAATGCCTGCATTGTTTATCTTGGACTATTTTGAAATTGGAATATTTTGAACTTTGCATTAAATTGGCCAAATTATCAATTTCCAGTCACTATTTTGTTGTTGATACGGTGATTTCTTGTGCTCAGTCGATAGAATAGAAGTAATAAAAGTGAAATAGCTAAGAATTTGGCTGACTGGAATACTGTAATTGCCCTAAAATGGGAGTCAAAGTTGGCAAAATTGCCGATGCGTAAATGTCGCCGACACATCAAAATTCGCGAGAGCATAATTTCGTCAGTTTTCCATCAAATTTCGTACTTTTTGTTTTATTACCTTCAGAAAAAGATTCTCTACCATTTCATAAAAAAATAACAAAATTATTTTTTGAAAATTCTTGGACCCTGGTGCACACTTTGAAATTTGGCCTCTGGACCCAGAAAGGGTTAAACCGATTAAACTGTATTTTGAAAATTTAGTAAATAACCAAAAAAAGCTACAATACCGTGACTGGAACAGTACACAAATAACCTTCACATAGCAGAGAGGAGCTTACGATGACATTTCGGTCCAACTTGGACCATTTACAAAGGCCAAGTCGGACTGAAACATCATCATAAGCTCTTCTCTTCTATGTGCGGGTTATTTATGTAGAAGATTTAGTATTTTGTTTAGCTGTATTGTAGCAAAATGACATTTTATAAATGTTAAGAAGTTAATCATTTAAAAAATATTATAATTTATTTCCTGTGAGTCATACAAATTAGTTACAGCAGTTATACATTAGAATTGATTATACTGTATTTTGAATTTGATCTTAAAGTACAGATCTTCTTTCAACAGACTGGCCATATCCTACCAAGGCAGGGTGGCCCAAAATAAAAAATGAAAGTTTCTCTTTTTAAATTTAGTAATATACAAATAACCCGCACATAGGAGAGAGGAGCTTGCAATGACTATGTGCAGGTTATTTGTGTGTTGTTCCAGCCACAGTATTGTGCCTTTTTGTTATTAAGTTATGTGTATATATAGGAGAAGGGGTTACTAGTCCCTTGCTCCTGTCATTTTAGTCATCTCTCATGACACTCATGGCTTATGAAGGAAAAATTCTATTCCACTTTCCCATGAAGATATAATACAGATATAATCAAGGAGATACAGATATAGTAAAGGAGGTTTTGTGGGTGAGGGGCTTGGACTTCCAGCAAGCTTGTGTGAGCGTGTTAGGAGTGAATGGAGATGAATAGTTTTTGGGACCTGACAAGTTGCTTGAGTGTGAGCAGGGTAATATTTTGTGAAGGTTAGCCAGACTTGAGTCCTGGAAATGGGAAGTACACTGCCTGCACTTTAAAGGAGGGGTTTAGGAGTACCTCTGCAAAGACGGTAATTATGTATGGGTGATGGTGAAAATGTTCAATGATGAGAGTTTTTCTTTTTGGGTCACTGCCTTGGTGGGAAATGGCTGACATGTTAAAAAATAGGTTCAGAAGAAAGCCACTTGTTATACAAATGCATTTTGGGTCAACTAATCATATGGCTTACACTACTGTACTTGTATCTAGATTTAGTATGTAATTTAAATCTGTACAGCTTGGGTAATTTATTACAATTGTGAGTACTTTGAGACAGGTTGTAAATAAAGAATTGGTCAATTACAAATAAATTACATAAAAATAGCATTTGTTTAGTGGCCTGCATTATATGGAGTGGTTGAATTGAGGTGGTGAAATCAAAGCATGGGAATTTACAGACAGTGAATGACTATAGCATTTATGAGATTGAATAGGTGTTTTTTAACAATAGTATTTTGGTGTTTTCAAGCAGTGAATTCCAAATTTTTGGCCTTTTATCTGCATGGCATTTTTGAACAGGTCGAGTTGTATACATGGAATGCCAGAGATACTTGTTCCTTGTATTGTAGCCATGTGTTCTGTTGCAGGTCTTCAAATAGTTTAAAGTTCTGGGTTCATGTTTTAGTTGAGTTTTCTGTAGGCATAGCATGCACAGTAGAAAGTGAATATTTTGCACATTAAGCAAACTTAAACCTCTTAATAGGGAAGGCAGGTGTTGCCTGGAGCCTGAATGAGTAATTATTCTTAGAGTTGATTTTTGCTGAGTAAGAACAAGTTGAAGGTGATGAGCTACTGTAGATCTCCATGCACAGATTCCATAAGTGAGGTATGGTTAGATTAGAGAGTAGTACAAAATGAGCAGTAGTGTTTGGAAAGCAGTATATTTTACAGTGTTTTTTTTAATGTGTGTTTGAATTTGTTTGGTGTCCAGGTGTATTCCCAGGAATTTATCCTTGTCCTGCCAACCAAGTGGTGTATCGTTTATTCTCATGTTCAAAAGAACATATTTTGCTTTGTTCATAAACATATAGACCATGTCAATATTGAGTGTGACAACTTCATCAACGTTCATAATTTTTTGGCAACTTGATGTAAACCTTGTGGTCCTGAGAAAGGTTTACAGAGGCATATCTCAGCATAGTCTTTTGTATTGGAGTGATTTTAAGTGCATTCTTATTGATAGGTGGAAAGTAAACTGAAAATATATTTTATAAGGTATATATACATGTGGAGTGAAAAGCTTCAACAATTTGTTTGAGGGACAGGTGTTTTAAAGAAATGAGTGGTTACATTCATGATATCATTAGTACCTGTATAGATATAAGGAAATATATGCAAAGTAGTTAGGTATATACATAATTAAGGTGCATGGAAAAAAAGGGGCTGCGGATATATAAGATGAATTGCATGCTACACTTGATGAATGTAAAGTAAGCATATTAGAACTACAAGGTAATTGCATTATAAAAATGGTTAGTATTTTACAGTAATATAATTTTATTTTTTTTAACAGACTGGTAAACTACACTTAGTTGACTTGGCTGGATCAGAAAATATTGGACGCTCAGGTGCCGTAGACAAGCGGGCTCGTGAAGCAGGTAACATTAACATGTCTCTACTAACTCTTGGGCGAGTTATCACTTCACTAGTTGAAAAGGCTCCTCATGTTCCATATAGGTAAGGTATTTTGTCTTGGCATGCTTTTTAAGAAAATGTTATCACTTTATCCTTTATCTTGACATTATGAGTTGATTTAAATATTGCATTTTAACTTTCTTCACTCTGTTGATTTATAACCATTACATAAAAGATTTGAGATGCACTGCAGCCAAATCACTGGCCCATACTAGCCAGCCTCCTTTTCACATCCAACGCATTTAGTTTGATAAAGATTGGTAAAGAACTGTCGATTTATTATTGACATTGTTAGGTTTGTCAGTACAGTTACCCACATATAGTATGAGGTGGTTGGCAGGCAGGAAGGATGGGGGAAGATGATTGGCTGTTGCAGGGCGAGTTATTGGGAAGCAGGCAGACATCATCATCTTTCTTTACTTTGGCTTAGCTTGCTGTACTCAGCCCCTCTCTATACAGTTACTTTCATCACTCTTGTCTACTCCATAAGAAACCAAACAATAATTGTGTCATGCTATCGACCCATTTCATTTTAATAAATTGAATTGAGAAATAATGGCTAGTATTGAGCATGGTGTGGCTAATCTTGGCATTTTTACCAATGAAGGACTCTAAATTAAAGGAATAGAAGTTACCCTTGCTTTCCCTGGATTAAACCTGATTGTCTCCCATTTCCCAAGATGCTGTAGGATTCCTGTAGGAATGTAGGACCTCTTTAGTTTTAGCACCGACTGTGAAATGGTTTATGAAAAAAGAGGACCACTATGGAACTAATGGGTATTTTGAAATTTATTTTTATTTTTTAATTTAGAATAAGGTTACTTATTGTGGTTTTTCTCTTGATGCACAATAGTAGGAATCTAGTTTACAGTAGGCTTTCAGTATCTATTCACAGCTTTCTTCCTTCCCTCCATCCACATTATTCCACCACACCTTTTCTTTTTTAACAAGTCGGCTGTCTCCCACCGAGGCAGGGTGACCCAAAAAGAAAGAAAATCCCCAAAAAAGAAAATACTTTCATCCATTCAACACTTTCATCTCACTCACACATAATCACTGTTTGTTCTATATTTTGCAGAGGTGCTCAGAACACAACAGTTTAGAAGCATATACGTATAAAGATACACAACATATCCCTCCAAACTGCCAATATCCCGAACCCCTCCTTTAGAGTGTAGGCATTGTACTTCCCATTTCCAGGACTCAAGTCTGGCTATATAAAAATAACTGATTTCCCTGAATCCCTTCACTAAATATTACCCTGCTCGCATTCCAACGGATTGTCAGGTCCCAAATACCATTCGTCTCCATTCACTCCTATCGAACACGCTCACGCATGCCTGCTGGAAGTCCAAGCCCCTCGCCCACAAAACCTCCCTTACCCCTTCCTTCCAACCTTTTCGAGGACGACCCTTTCACCGCCTTCCTTTCCCTACAGATTTATACGCTCTCCATGTCATTCTACTTTGATCCATTCTCTCTAAATGACCAAACCACCTCAACAACCCCTCTTCAGCCCTCTGACTAATACTTTTATTAACTCGACACCTTCTCCTAATTTCCACACTCCGAATTTTCTGCATAATATTTACACCAAACATTGCTCTTAGACAGGACATCTCCACTGCCTCCAACCGCCTCCTTGCTGCTGCATTCAGAACTCAAGCTTCACACCCATATAAGAGTGTTGGTACTACTATACCTTCATACATTCCCTTCTTTGCCTCCATAGATAACGTTTTTTTGTCTCCACATATACCTCAACGCACCACTCGCATTTTTTCCCTCGTCAATTCTATGATTAACCTCATCCTTCATAAATCCATCCGCCGACACGTCAACTCCCAAGTATCTGAAAACATTCACTTCTTCCATACTCCTCCCTAATTTGATATCCAATTTTTCTTTATCTAAATCATTTGATACCCTCATCACCTTACTCTTTTCTATGTTCACTTTCAACTTTCTACCTTTACACACACTCCCAAACATCTTCCACTAACCTTTGCAATTTTTCTTTAGAATCTCCCATAAGCACAGTATCATCAGCAAAAAGCAACTGTGTCAATTCCCATTTTGTATTTGATTCCCCACCCCTCCCAAACACCCTAGCATTTACGTCTTTTACTCATTTTTACTGATTTATTCATTCCTGTTAACCTTCAAGATAATATAGATGCTGATTTTTTTCCTCAGAGAGTCTAAGCTAACTCGGCTTTTACAAGATGCTCTTGGTGGGCGAACTAAGACGTCAGTTATAGCTACAATTTCTCCAGCCTCTGTAAACTTAGAAGAAACTCTGTCTACATTGGATTATGCCCATAGAGCAAAGAACATCCAGAACAAGCCAGAAGTCAACCAGAAACTGAATAAGAAGGAACTTATAGGGGTAACATATCTTTCTTCAAATCATAACTTATATACTTATAAATAATAGATAATTGCCTCCATGATGACACACCATGTGTGTCATCCATGGAGGCAGAGAAGAATGTATGAGAGTATAATGGTACCAACACTCTTATATGGGTGTGAGGCATAGGTTGTAAATGCTGCAGCAAGGAGGCAGTGGAGATGTCGTGTCTAAGGGCAGTATGTGGTGTAAATATGCAGAGAGTACATAGTGTAGAAATTAGGAGGAGGTGTGGAGTTACTGCCAGTATTAGAGGGCTGAAGAGGGGCTGGCTTAGAGAGAATGGTGGTTTAGACAGAATGGAACAAAGTAGAATGACTTGGAGAGTGTATAGATCTATTGGTGAAGCAGGGTAGGGGTTGTCCTCGAAAAGGTTGGAGGGAGGGGGTAAAGGAAGTTTTGTGGGTGAGTGGATTGGACTTCCAGCAAGTGTGCGTGAGCGTGTTAGGAGTGAATGGAGACAATGGTTTTTGGGACCTAACGAGCTGTTGGAGTGAGAGCAGGGTAATATTTTGTGAAGGGATTCAGGGCAACTGTTCAGCCGGACTTAAGTCCTGGAAATGGAAAATACAATGCCTACACTTTATAGGAAGGGTT